CATTCCCCATTCCAGTTCCTCCCTTCCTTCCTGTCTGAAGGGACAGTTGATGAGAATCCCAGAGAGTAACAGAATAACAAGAGTTGGAAGGGACCTTGGAGGTCATCTAGTCCAACCCCCTGCTCAGGCAGGAAACCCTATACCATTTCGGACAAATGGCTGTCCAGTCTCTTCTTAAGAACCTCCAGCGTTGGAGCATTCACCGCTTCTGGAGGCAGGTGGTTCCACTGGTTAATTGTTCTCACTTTCAGGAAGTTTCTCCTTAGTTCCAGGTTGCTTCTCCCCTTGATGAGTTTCCATCCGTTGCTTCTTGTCTTGACTTCAGGCACGTTGGAGAATAGCTTGACTCCCTCTTCTTTGGGGCAGCCCCTGAGATATTGGAAGACTGCTATCATGTCAACGCTAGTCCTCCTCTTCATTAGACTAGACATATCCAATTCCAGCAACCGTTCTTCGTATGTTTTAGCCTCCAGTCCCCTGATCATCTTTGTTGCTCTCTTTCTTGCCTTAAACATTCAGACATCTCCTTGACTCAGGGTTGTTTTCTTTCGTCCAAGATGGAGTTCCTTTGTGTTTACTTCTTTCTAGAGGCATCCGATTTCAAATTCCCCACACCACAGATTGTGTACGTTCAGTCAACGGAAGGAGAATGGTGGGCTTGATTTTAGGAGACCTCTCTTCATTTCCTGTTGGGGAAACCCATTTAAAAATAAAAAAAAAAGAACTAAATTTAACTGCAGTGTAAAAGCTCAGGGGGGTTGATTTAGCGAGGGTTAATTGAATCGCAATCCGTCTTTGACCATTCCAGCCCTGGCTGGCTCTTTGCAGGCATGTTCTCCAATGAGAAAAGCAATTTATAAAGCAAGCAAATCAGTATTCTGAAGTTACAGAGCTTTCAGGAGGATATCTGGAACAAGAAGGTATTATTAAAACATAAGCTGCACCGAAGCTCGGAGATGGACCTGTGCGTTTCGAGATATTATTATCTCAGCCCCAGATTTCTGAGCTAGCTTTTCTCCTAACTGGACCCCTTAATTAAAATTCGAAAGAGCAAAAAGCTTGGCAAGAGATGGGATTTTCCTGATGGGCAGAATGTGAACAGAGCTGGAATAAATTTTGACTCGGCAATACACATTTGGCTAAATGAGTTCTCACCTCTGACATCCCCAGATGGGAAAACATCTGAGAAAGAAATCAACATGCTGTTTGGCAGAGATGGAAAAAAGGGCTCCTGGAAACAAAAAGGAATGGGGCTTGGGCAATGATGTCAATGCAGCAGGTCTTCCCCGAAATGTCCATGTCTGGAAACTTCCCGAAACTCTTATGGATCTGAAAGGTTATCCTATAGAAGATGGACCTATAAGGGCCTGCAAGTTGCTCTTCTCCTTCCAGAGATGTCATGTTTTCTCTTCAAAGTACAGAAGCAGGTCATGGGTGCTCCATCACTGGCGATGTTCAAGAAGAGACTGGACATACTTGAACTCTATAGGGTCTCCTGCTTGGGCAAGAGGTTAGACTAGAAGACCTCCAAGGTCCCTTCCAACTCTGTTATTCTGTTTGATCTGTCTCCATTTGAGCATTCACCTCATGGACAGCAGCTTAGGTTGGAGGTGCCCAGCTTTTTTTCTGGAAATTCTTCACTTAGACCCTAGACCAGGGGTAGGCAACCTTGGCTCTTTTATGACTCGTGGACTTCAACTCCCAGAATTCCTGAGCCAGCATAGCTGGGAGTTGAAGTCCACGAGTCATAAAAGAGTCAAGGTTGCCTACCCCTGCCCTAGACCTACTTTCCCACCACGGCTTCTACAGAAAATCTCTTCCTTTGGAAAATCAAGATCCCTTTGAGAATTCTTTGGAGAACTGTAAAATTGACCTTCTGTAGATGGAGGATCTACCCAAGTTCTAATGTTCCTGAGGAGCCATTCAATACTCCATGTTCTCAGACTGAAACCATTGAAAAAGGAAGCCACAGGCAAGCAAGTCTACTTCTCACGATCCCCAACTCTACTCCTGAGCCCATTGGGAAGGAATTATTAATGCACAAATTTCTTTTCAGCCTTACAAAGGATGAAGTTGTTTGAGAAAATAGGAGTGGATCCTATTAGTAATATGGAGTTATTCCCATTCTCAGTAAGCAGTGATGTTACCCACAAGTTAGCACCAAATTCTAGCGACAGCTCCTAACTAGATTCAAGTCCCATGCAAAGGCAGTGGATAGAATAAGCCATTATTAGAACATAGAATATCGGAGTTGAAAGGGATCTTGGAGGTCTTCTAGTCCAACCCCCTGCTCAAGCAAGACACCCTATAGCAGGGTCTGGACAAATGGCTGTCCAGTCTCTTTTTGAAAACCTGCAGTGTTGGAGCACTCACAACTTCTGGCGGGAAGCCGTCCCATTGATTGTCAGGAAGTTTCTACTGAATTCTAGCTTGGACCTCTCTTTTAGCTGACTTGCTACCGCTTAGTGTATGAGTTGAGCTCTTGGCACACGTAATCTCATTTCTTTTCATTTCTGACGAGCACGTGACCGGGTTTTAAAAGCATGCTTGCACATAAGACACACATACACAAGTCCAAGTTAATTCAGGTCAGAAAATGGTGTGGGTGTACAGAAAGAAGTGGATTTATTTAGTGTGTTCTAGCCTCCAGAGTAGAAGCCTGAATGTCAGGTGGCACAATGCCACAAAGAGAATTATATATATGGAACAGTAGAATAGCTTACCCACAGAAATCGTGGACGCTCCATCACTGGAGATTTTTTAAAAGAAGGCTAGAGAGTCACTGGTCTGAGATGATATAGGTTCTCCTGCTTGAGTAGGGGGCTGGACTAGAAGACCTCCAAGATCCTTCCTGCTCTATTCTATTCTATTCTATTCTATTCTATTCTATTCTATTCTATTCTATTCTATTCTATTCTGTTCTATTCTAAATTCCGTTCTGTTCCATTCTATTGTGTTCTGTTCTATATTTTCTCTATTCTATTCTATTCTATTCTATTCTATTCTATTCTATTCTATTCTATTCTATTCTATTCTATTCTATTCTATTCTATTCTAATTCTATTCCATTCTATTCTTTTTCATATTCCTTATTCTATTCTATTCTATTCTAGTCTAGTCTAGTCTAGTCTAGTCTAGTCTAGTCTAAATTCCGTTCTGTTCCATTCTATTGTGTTCTGTTCTATATTTTCTCTATTCTATTCTATTCTATTCTATTCTATTCTATTCTATTCTATTCTATTCTAATCTAATTCTATTCCATCCTATTCTTTTTCATATTCCTTATTCTATTCTATTCTATTCTATTCTATTCTATTCTATTCTATTCTATTCTATTCTATTCTATTCTATTCTATTCTATTCTAAATTCCGTTCTGTTCCATACTATTCTGTTCTGTTCTATATTTTCTCTATTCTATTCTATTCTATTCTATTCTAACTCTATTCTATTCTATTCTATTCTATTCTATTCTATTCTATTCTATTCTATTCTATTCTATTCTATTCTATTCTATTCCCAGTGGAACAGCTTGCTTCCAAAAATCGTGGGTGCTCCATCACTTGAAGTTTTTAAGAAGAGACTAGACAGACTAGATATACATATATAAATTAAAAAAAAAACCTGATTCAACACCAGGTCACACCTGTCTCTTTGCACCAAGGCGTTTCTCTCTGAAAGGACCAGTTCTCGTTTCTTGGTGCACAAGCTTAGAAACAGATTTGATGGGATCTGACTGTAGAAAGCAAAGCTGTCAGCTTCCGAACTAGTTCTACTGAAGATCGGTGCCACATCCAACTTGCCTCAAAGGCACTTTTTCCACCGGGGCTGCAGCTGAAGTGAATCTCTTGTGAAGGCCAAACAATCCAGATCCACAATGATCTCCTGGAGCAGCTGTGACACCCACCGCGCTCAAAAGCTATATGGATAGTCCTCAGCTCACGGCTACGATTTAGCCCAAAATATCCGTTGCTAAGCGAGACATTTGTGAAGCGGGTTTTGCCCCATCTTGCGGCCAGCCTTTCCACAACTGCTAAGCATGTCACTGCGGTTGTTAATTTATAACAGGGTTGTTAAGTGAATCTGGCTTCCCCATTGACTTGGTCAGAAGGTGGCGAAAGTGACACTGCAACCGACACGAGTCAGTTGCCAAGCATTTGGATTTTGATCACATGACCATGGGGGCACTGCAGAATACAGAACAACTGAGTTGAAAGGGACCTTGAGGTCTTCTAGTCCAACCCCCTGCTCAAGCAGGAGACCCTAGACTAGGGGTAGGCAACCTTGGCTCTTTGATGACTCGTGGACTTCAACTCCCAGAATTCCTGAGCCAGCATGGCTCAGCTTGGAGACCTCTCCCTTTCCCCTCAGCATGGCTGGCTCAGGAATTCTGGGAGTGGAAGTCCACGAGTCATCAAAGAGCCAAGGTTGCCTACCGCTGGTATAGGGCAGGGGTAGGCAACCTTGACTCTTTTATGACTCGTGGACTTCAACTCCCAGTATTCATGAGCCAGCATGAGGGAACTATGGCCCCCTCATGACTCGTGGACTTCGAATTCCTGAGCCAGCATGACTCAGATTGGAAACCTCTCCCTTTCCCCTCAGCATGGCTGGCTCAGGAATTCTGGGAGTTGGTCCACTCCCAGGGGGGTTGTCCCCCTGCCCTAGACCACTCTGTGCAAATGGTTGTCCAATGGCTTCTTAAAAATGTCCAGTATTGGAGCAGCCACAACTTCTTAGCCATGGCACTGATTAATTGTTCTCACTGTTAGGAAACGTCTTCTTAAGTTTCTGATAATTTTTGTCCATTACTTCTTGACCCCCCCCCCTCTTCTCTGCAACACTCATAAGTGTGAAAAATGGGCATAACTCACTTTCTTCGGTGCCATTGTCACTTCAAACAGTCCCTAAAAGAAGCGTTTGTAAATCGGGGACCACCTGTACTTAAATCTGGAGTAGCCCCACCAGACTCTCCCAAAAGCAGATGCCGCTGGGACAAAAATCAATGTGGTCAATTAAAATTTAATGCCAAATGAACGAATGAAATGCAGCCAATAGGCTCAGTCCCCAGGCATTTAATAATGCCTCCTTCCAACCCATTGGGAAAATTACAATTTGACAGAAATGTTTGGAAAGTCTTGGAAGTTGCACTTTAAACCTGGGCTTGCAGGAACCATTGGAACATCACAGGTGGGATAGACCCCCCGCCCCCCAAATCAAAGCACCTCTCGCCTGCCAGCATCCCTTCTGCAGGCTGGCGTGAAGGTAAGGCTGAAACACACAACATCCGTCTTCATGTTCCAAGTTCAGCAGCAAGAAATAAGGAGGCTCTTGTGATCCAACTGGCATCCACGTCAACTTGCTGGAAACAGATCATGTATCACGTTATTTTGTTTTGGTGAGGGAGGGCAGTGTAATTTATTTACAGGTTACTCATTGTTGCCGTTGGGGTGCTTTTGAAATCGTTAATCAGACATGCTGAAGTTGTGTGACTTCCCAGTTCCCCAGGATAGGAAGCGCAGTAGAAAAGGCACATGGGTCTGTTCACCGCAAGAGTTGTGCATCCAGCCAGCAACTTAAAGCTACAAAATCCACCTGGAACAGGACCATCTTCAACGAGGCACAAGATCCATCCACCCTACCAAATCACCCCAAATTATGGCTACCCTCCCTGTTTTTTCCCACCCTCCCCCTTTCACGAGACCCAAAGCAAAGTTTGATTCTATTGTCTATTCTCTCTCTCTCTCTCTCTCTCTCTCTCTCTCTCTCTCTCTCTCTCTCTCTCTCTCTATCTATCTATCTATCTCTCTCTCTCTCTCTCTCATCCATCAGAAAGAAACACGATGAAACTTGGAGAAATCTCTCTCAGTCACCCAACGATACAAGGACAGATTGGATTCACTTCTGATTGACCTGGGGCAGGCGAAGAATCAACCCAGTTAAGTCTTCCAAGGAACAAGTCCTAGATTAGTGACATGTCAGCTTTTTCATCATCGACAAGGCACTCCACGCTGTTCCTTTAAAAAAAAAAAAAAGAATAACACCCTAAAACTGCGTCCCGGGCTTCTTCTTTTAGCCATCACGGTTTCTTCATCTGAGTCCTATTTAATCTACAACCATCGGAGCTATTAACGCCCGTGGGATTTGAAGAAGAGATGTCCTTATCCTTGTTCTTTTAAGCTGGGAAATCAGTGCCTTCCATGTTTGATCCAATTTCTGATCATCCATTTTTGCCCCGAGCATCTCTGTACTACCAATCTAAGTCCAAAGTTGGCATCTTTAGACATTTCTACTTCAAGACATCGGCCAGTATCTCGGCTGATGATTGGTCCACTCTGTAAGGAAGGAAGAGGAAGGATTGTGAGCACTCGTAGCTTTTCCAAGACAGGCAAAAGCAACACGAATCACCCCAAGGATTAAGAGAAGGCAAGAGAAGAAACAATGGGTGGAAATTAATCAAGGAGAGAGGTAACCTAGAACTAAGGAGAAATTACCTGACAGTCGGGACAATTAACCAGTGGAACGACTTGCCTCCAGAAGTTGTGAATGCTCAAACACTGGAAGTTTTTAAGAAGAGATTGGTCAACCATATGCTAGGTTTTGCATGGGAAACCCAGAGCTGGTTTCACTTCATCTATGCCAATGTAGTTTAATCAATAAAGTTTATACTCTTGGTAAAATAATGTGCCAGGAGTTTCTTTTTCTGGACAGTTGACAAATCTTTTCTTGTAAAATTATCAAGTCAGGACCCTAAATCATAGTTGGAAGGTACCTTGGAGGTCTTCAAGTCCAACCCCATGCTCGGGCAAAAGACCCTATACCATTCCAGACAAACGGCTGTCCAGTCTCTTCTTGAAGATCTCCAGTGATGGAGCATCCACAACTTCTGGAGGGAAGCCCTTCCGCTAATTGTTCTCATTGTCAGGAAATTTCTCCTTATTTCTAGGTTGGTTCTCTCCTTGATTAGTTTCCATCCATTCCTCCTTGCCCTGTCCTCAGATCCTTTGGAGAATAAATTGATCCCCTCTTCTTTGTGGTAGTCCCTCAAATACTGGAAGACTGCTATCCTGTCACCCCCTAGTCCATCTCTTTGTTAGACTAGACATGCCCAGTTCAGCAATCATTCGCCACAGGGTTTAGCCTGTTTATTTACTTCTAAATATATTTAGAGATACATTTAACTGCATCGTTCTTAGCAACCGAGTGCAGAGATCATTATCACAACATATATATTGGTCCCGGGCTTCTGCACTCTCAAATTCACAGCAAGACCTGAATAGGACTCAAATTGCTTTTAGGTGAATTGAGCAGGAAACACCCTCCTATCTCAGATGAAAATTGAAAAGAAAAAAAAAAAGCAAAATATGGAAATTACACGCTGTAGGATTTAGAAGGGAAAGAAAAAAATCGCTTCGCTGGGATGACTCTGCTGACTGTTATAATGGAGAAGGAGATAGCCAGAATATTGGATTTTGAAAAAGGAGAATGTGGAGAACTGACTACAGTAATACTTGCTGGTGTGGAGAAAAAGAATTTAAAAGCTTGGCTTTGTGTGTGTTCAGAAATTTGAACAAGAGGGAAAAGGCTGTCCCAAAGCTGAGCGTGCCGTGGAAAAAAAGACAGGTGGGTGAAGAGTTAAATATGCAGTTTTCTCCTTCAAAAAAAACCCAAAATCTTCTATTAGGGACTGGCATTGCCTGGAGGCATCAGGAGAAGAAAGAGGCAAGAAAAAAAAATGTAATCAAAATGACTGATTGCTTTATTTCCCTTAAATGGAAAATCAAATTGTTTGAGACTCTTCATAATAATAGGAACCAGCTGGGGAATATTTCTACATGTGAGTGTGTTCCTTTTCATGTACGTTTGCCTTTCCTGACTTGGTACCCTCCATGCTTGCTAGAGATGAAAGTCCAATTTCATTTCAGCTTCCATATAAGTGCCCAGAATTCCGGAGAACTCCCAGAATCCCATGGGACCTCCAGTGTTCCCAACCCTCATGGTGGTTGAGTATTGTGGGAGCAGGAATCTCAATGGATTTGGAAGGCAGTAAGTAGGCAATGACGTGGGAAGTGTAATATTTGAACCAAATAAACATTCTCTTTCAGTTCCTCACATAGTTGTGGGGTCCTTGGTGCTCTCTGAGCTGGGTGGTTTTCTTGAAGACGTTTCACGACCCAACTGGGGAACATCATCAGGGCTGGAAGAGAGTGTGGATAATCTGATAGCACTGAAGACATTGTGGGTTGTGAAATGTCTGCAAGAAAACCACCCAGCTCAGAGAGCACCAAGGACCCCACAGTCTTCCTCCTCCTCCTCCTCCTTCTCCTCCTCCTCCTCTTCCCCCTCCTCCTCTCCATAAACTCCCCTCCCTTCTAGCACTGATGATGTTCGTTAGTTGGGTCATGAAACGTCTGCAAGAAAACCATCCAGCTCCGAGAGCACCAAGGACCCCACAGTTCATCCCTCAGCTAAAACTATTCTCTTCCATCAGTACCATTTATATCTGTATATTCTGACATGCCTATAATACCTGTGTAAAGTCCCAGAGTCGTTGAGTTGGTCTCAGCGTATCTTCACATTTCTTCAAGGAGGGTGTCCTTCCTTTCCCATCATCTATGAGACATTTTGAATCAGGGAGGAATGCTGTAGATCCCAGCGGGCCCAGTTGCAACAATCCTTCGGTGCTGTAACGGACAAGCTGAGACCAAAACCAAATCAAAGGTAATAACACCACAGTTAAGTCCACCGCAACCATAAATGCGACAAAAATGTAGCTCTCGTATCACCGTTCAAATCCCTGCCATTTTAAAATTGTTCCTCCTCACCCAAACTCATGAGGTCTAGTGGCATCAACGAGGGACGCAGATCTGTTTTACATCAAATGTGCCTCTAAACCTCCAGCCCCAAAACTAGCTTGATAATCAGTTCTCCTTCTCAAAAGTGAAGGTTTCCATCAAGCTTGACCCCAGAAGAACTTCCAAAGATGTGTCTTTACCTGGGAAGACATTCCATGGCATGGATAGAGTATCGCTTTATTGTCATCTTCTGCGCCCTGGTCCAAGCAGTAGCCGCTAGCTTTGCTGTTGCGTACCTGAAATAAACACCAGGGTAGATAAGAGTTGAAGGAGAAAGAAAAAGAAAGAAAGAAAGAAATAGAAATAGAAATGAAGGGAGAGGAGAAAGAAGAGAGAAAGGAAAAAAGAAAGAAAAAGAAAGAAAGGAATAGAAATGAAGGGAGAGGAAGAAGGAAGAGAGAGAAAAAAAGAAACAAAAAGAAAAAAAAAGAAGAAAAAAGAAAGAAAGAGAGAGAGAGAGAGAGAGAAAGAAAGAAAGAAAGAAAGAAAGAAAGAAAGAAAGAAAGAAAGAAAGAAAGAAAGTAAGTCTATGAAGATTGTCAGTCATCAAGATCATGGTTGTCCCAAAGGTGCTTTTTCAAGAGGCAACTGGACAAGAAAGAAGGAAGGAAGGAAGGAAGGAAGGAAGGAAGGAAGGAAGGAAGGAAAGAAAGAAAGAAAGAAAGAAAGAAAGAAAGAAAGAAAGAAAGAAAGTCTATGAAGATTCTCAGTCATCCAGATCATGGTTGTCCTAAAGGTGCTTTTTCAAGAGGCAACTGGACAAGAAAGAAAGAAAGAAAGAAAGAAAGAAAGAAAGAAAGAAAGAAAGAAAGAAAGAAAGAAAGAAAGAAAGAAAGAAAGCAAGCAAGCAAGCAAGCAAGCAAGCAAGCAAGCAAGCATATTTTTGCCATACGCTAAATAAATACCCCTTTGGTAATTGATGGATTCCCTCTTTGAAGCTGGCCTGACATTGTGGACCAGGGATGGAGGCTCAGCCCATGTCTCCAACTGCTGAAGCCATGACATCACTCTGTCTCCTATCTAACTAGTGCCTGGCTTCCTTCCACTGTGATAAACCGGAAATCAAAACCAAATTGTGGCAGACAAACGCCTTTCCTATCTCATTTCCCAGCCAAGAGTCCTTTAAAAAAAAAAAATCCACACCTTCAGAGTGCAATAAAACGGAAGAGGACTTTAATAAATAAGCCAAAACTCTCCAGCATCAGAAGTTATGGGAATCTTCTCCTCTGCAAAAACGATATAAAATATCGTTTCATTGCCCGTCACAAATTCCAAGGCCGGGAGGCACAAACTGTCCTTCATGTTCTCAGAATGTGCTGCCAACATTTAAGTGGGAACAGTCCTGCTTTACGACACTGGGTGTTTTTTCAGTGTGTTTTTTTTTATGACCCGGCTTTAAAAAAAAATAGAGTGTTTTGATGGAGGGAAAGCATATTTTTACAACTTCTGGGTATGTTTTATCTCTGTGCTCGTATATTGAGTTTCTCTCAGTTGACAAGAGGCCAAAGACAACAAGGCTTATTTTTATTAGGATGTCTTTGAACAGGAAAATAAAATAATAACGGGGAAGCTTTTTCAAACCGCAAATTCCAGAAGACAAGCAGCGAAGGTGTCTAGTTACACATCACACTCATAACCTGATTAGTAAATACCTTGGGCAGCATAAATATCAGTGCCAAGCCAAAATTGTCTTGGCAATTTCTCAGAAAAGTCTTTCCCTGTTGAAAGAAGATTCTGTTTTTTTCCCCCTACCTTATTCTTACGGAACTTGAGGATTATTTATGAATTTATTGGGGTGTTTTTCAGCTGGGGTGTGGGAGGGGACGCTTTTTTTTGATGTGACACCATATCGCTCCGCAGTTTCTCTTATTAGAGAGCCAGTTCGGTCTAATGGTTCAGGCACCAGGCTAGGAACCAGGCGAGTGAGTTCTAGTCCTGCCTTAGTCAATAGACATGGAAGCGGACTGGGTGATTTTGGACCAAGACTCTGAGTTCCAGTCCCGCTTTAGGCATGAAAACCAACTGGGTGACTTTGGGCCAATCAACAGGAGACGGTGAGTTCTAGTCTTGTCTTAGGCATGAAAACCAGTTGGATGACTTTGGGCCAATCACCAGGAGATGGTGAATTCTAGTCCCGCCTTAGACGTGAAAGCCAACTGGGTGACTTTGGGCCAATCACCAGGAGACAGTGAGTTCTAATCCCGCCTTAGATGTGAAAGCTGGCTGGGTGACTTTGGGCCAATCACCAGGAGACAGTGAGTTCTAGTCCTGCCTTAGACGTGAAAGCCAGCTGGGTGACTTTGGGCCAATCACCAGGAGACAGTGAGTTCTAGTCCTGCCTTAGATGTGAAAGCTAGCTGGATGACTCTGGCTTTCATGCCTAAGACAGGACTGGAACTCACCGTCACCTGGTAAAGCAAAGGAAAGTTGAAGCAAGTTCATAAGCACCATCACAGTTTCCCTTTTGACCATTCTACTTAATGACAGAATTGCTAATCCCAGTTTGGTTGCTAAACGAGGAGCATCCCTTTTTTTCCAACCTGGCGCCTTTCAGCTCTGGAGAGTCCAGACTAGAATAAAATTGAACCATCAATTTGAGAGACAGGGATTCACACGTTACCTCTCCGTACGTGATGGTGTTGTTGTAAACCCTCATTTCAGGATAGACATTCTCCAAGTACCACTTAAAACTCCGGCACTGCAGACGCTGCCGTAAAGCAACCCGTTCCGACACATCTCCGAAGTCAACGCCAGGGTTCTGGGACACAAAGACACAAAGCGCAAAACAATATTTGACCAGGCTGGTTTTTCTAAGCAGCTTGTTCTCCAGTTCACACAACCGTTGGCGTGGTCTACAGCCCCGTTCTTCTACCAACCTACCCAATCCCCTCCTTCACTCCTTAGCCACGTAAGGAGGTTCTGAATCCAGTGACGCTGTTAAAAACTGGAAATAAATATGAATTAAATCTCCGTAGAATCGGGTAGGGAGAACGGAGCGGTATCAAAAAGGCCGAGGTAGGTCACTGGAAGCTTCACCAGGTTGGGAACCCGTCTTCTATCTTGGCTGCTAGCGGAATTCAGGAAAGTTCCCCTTGTGGGAAAAAGGCCTTAGTCCTCCCCTTACCGTCATTGGTATGTTCCATGCCATGTACACGTGGGACTTGAAGTCGTCCATCCACACTTCGGCCGCCCGCAGGGCGTTGCGCTTGGCGTAATAGTCAATGTCGTTGTTGTACGGCTTCTTCGTGCGCTCAATGTGAGCCACGCGGGAACAAGGCAGGACTTCCATGCTCCCACCGCACTGCCAGACCTGTGGGAAAAGTGAAGCAGGTCATGGAGGGTGCGTAAAATGGGTCATTAAGATGAAGATCTATTAGAGGAAGTTGATCGAGAGCGAGAAAGACAAAAGTTACAAGAAAGAGAAAGGTTAGAAAGGGAAGCAAAAGGAAGACTTATAGAGACAAGAAGCATAAAACAAAATAAAAACAAAAAAAGATCAAGTTAAAAATGGGAGACGTAATTAAGCTCTTTTCTGTAAACATTAATGGATTAAATATATCAAGAAAAAGAGTTTAAACGTTTAACAAGTTAAGGAAATTGGATGTAGATGTGATGTATCTTTAGGAAGTTTATATAAAATAGGATTATAGAAAATTGCTAGAGAAAGTAAAATTTAGAAACATTATACACAATATTAGTATAAAACAAGAAAGGAGGAATTATTATATATATCAAAGAAAAAATAAAATAAAATCAATATACTTGGATGAAAAGGGATACATTTTAATGTTGGAAATAGTATTAGAGTAAAAACAGAATATGCACTAAATAATAATTAACGTGAATCTTTTTTTTAAAAAAAATAAGGTATATAAGAAGCTAGTGGGTTTGGACTATGAGAATATTTGTATGATCACCAGAACTAGATGGAATCATGGTCGAGTCTTATAAAAAATATGAGAGTTACTACAGTGAATAATGTTGGAAATTTAAAATGAGGTGTTGGTAGAGGTGATATGCGTATAATAATGTATAATAATAATAATATGAATTATTCCTAGTAAGTAGTAGAATATGAAAGAAGGAGAACGTAAATAAGAAACAATGGGGCAATAAGGACAAATATTTCAAAGAAGAACGAGGGGGGAAATGTAAATAATAGAAGAGTACTGTTACAAATTGCTGTTAACAAAAAAGGATATACTACGTGTGTACGCATGTAATGTTTTGTTGTGTTTTGTTTTGTTTTGTTGGTCTAAAATAATTTAAAAAAAAAATAGAAAGACTGTAGCCTGAGCAAAAGGCAGCTCCTGTTCTAAAAACATGCAGTGTCCTAGATGACCTAGAATCCAGGGCTGGAAAGGACCTCAGAGGTGTTTAATTTTGAAAACAGAATAACAAGAGCGGGAAGGGGCCTTGGAGGTCCTCTAGTCCAACCCCCTGCTCAAGCAGGAGTCCCGATACCATTCAGGACTAACGGCCATCCCATCTCCGGGCCGGGATATGATCGGACTTGCGGTATGACTGGATTATTTTATTCTTTTATGACTGTTTTTAACCTTGTACGCCGCCCTGAGTCCTTTGGGATTGGGCGGCATATAAATATTTGTAAATAAATAAATAAATAAATCTCTTCTTGAAAACCTTCCGTTATTTCACGCTTGCTCTCTACTAGGGATTTCGCCGTATATCACCAGACCCTGATGATTTGCCTGTGAGTAATGGAAGGTACTGTGGGAAAATAGTGCCCATTAATCCACCTACAAAGGTATGAATTTTTGGAGGGAGAGAGGGAGGAGGAAGACGAAGGAAGGAAAGAGGAAGAGAGAGGGATGAGGAAGAGAAAGGAGGAAAGAAAGGAGGAAGAGAGAGATGAAGGGAGGGAGAAAGGGAGGAGAAAGAAAAAAGAAGGAGGGAGGGAGGAAGGAAGAAGCAACTTTTATTAGATGCAAAACATCCAGGCTTTTTTCTAAACATAAACCCTTCTCACATCTCATGGGGTCTAATTTAGGTTTCGCACCTGCAATTTCCACCCTTGACCTTAGCTGAAGATCCCCTCAACGTCTGGCTTCTATCACCGAGTGCCCTCAGCTTTAAAATAAGATAAAATGAAATATTTGTGCTACAGGCCACGCCACCACCACCCCGCCCTGCTCACCCAGGATTAAGGGGACAAAGGCTGAGACTTTCGGAAAAGCGACCTTCTCCATTCCCAAGAACGCTGAAAACCTGAGTGTCATTATTGATGTAAAGAGGCTGGATGAGCTTGTTCCTTCATTAAAAAGATAAAGTCGTTTCCTTTCATTTGCAAATTAAGGCAACACATAAATATCCTGCTTTTTTTTCTTTTTTTTTCAATGTTCTGGTTCCTACAGCTCAGGGCTTCCTACATTATTATTATTATTATTATTTTTAAGTTACATAAGACGTATTTATAACCCTCCCAAGATGGATGAGAATGCAATATGTTGAGCCTAAAAAAGCATTAAGCCGGGGCGCCAAGGGAAACGGTCCAACTCATCTATATATGCAAGACAAATAGTTATTTATTCAAGCTCCATTTTCTCAACGCCAAAATCTCCCTCAAGTTTGCTTCCCTTGCACAAAAGAAAAGAAAAAAAAAAGAAAAAGATTCGGTTTGTCTACTTTGTTCTCGGAATGCAGGAGCCATTTCTTCTACAGTTCTGTTTGCAGATCCTTTTTAAATCTGTCTCTGGTGCTGATGGCGCAAAAAGTCATATTTTGACATCGTAGTTCTCAGTCCTCAATCTTTCTCCGTTTCTGACACTTTGCGGAGCTTTTGGGGCTTCTTGACCCGAAAAAGCCTTGTGTGGTGGTTTCCTTCCTGATGTGTGTGTGTGTGTGTGTGTGTGTTTTAGATGAACTATGAGGAGGTGATGGAGGAAATTTAACCTACCAGCCTCAACTTATGACCTCAGCTGAGCCCCAAATTTCTTGTTCGGTGAATTTTGCCCCATTTGATGATCTTTGTGCCTCAGTTATAGTAGTACTACTACTACTACTAGTAGTAGTAGTAGTAGTAATACTAATACTACTACTAATGATGATGATGATGATGATGTTGGAAGGGACCTTGGAGGTCATCTAGTCCAATCCCCTGCTCAGGCAGGAAACCCTATACCATTTCAGACAAATGGCTGTCCAGTCTCTTCTTAAAAACTTCCAGTGTGGGATCTTTCACTGCTTCTCTTTCACCGCTTCTGGAGGCAGGTTGTTCCACTGGTTAATTGTTCTAGCTGTCAGGAAGTTTCTCCTTAGTTCCAGGTTGCTTCTCTCCTTGATCAGTTTCCATCCATTGCTTCTTGTCCTGCCTTCAGGTGCTTTGGAGAATAGCTTGACTCCCTCTTCTTTGGGGCAGCCCCTGAGATATTGGAAGACTGCTCTCCTGTTACCCCTAATCCTTCTCTTCATGAAACTAGACATACCCAATTCCAGCAACCGTTCCTTGTATGTTTTAGCCTCCAGCCCCCTGATCATCTTTGTTGCTCTTCTCTGTACTCTTTCTAGCGTCTCAACATCTTTTTTTCATCGTGGTGACCAAAACCAATTGTTAAATGAATCACTGCAGCTGTTAAATTAGTAACCCGGTTGTTAAATGAATCTGGCTTCCATGTTGACTTTGCTGGTCAGAAGTTCGCCAAAAGTGATGACATGACCCCGGGACACCGCAACCATCATAAATACAAGTCAGTTGCCAAGCGTCTGGATTTTGGTCATGTGACCACGGGGAAGCTGCAACAGATGTAAATGTGAAAAATGGTCATAAGTCCTTTTTTTCAATGATGTTGCAGGAACTGGGTATATGTAGTCTACTGAAAAGAAGAGGCATGGATGACATCATAGCAGTACTACAATATTTGAGGGGCTGTCACAAAGATCAGAGGGTCAGCCTTCTTTAGAAATGGTGTAGGGTCCCCTGTTTGGGTGGGGATTGGACCAGTGGTGGGATTCAGCCAGTTCACACCACTTTGGCAGAACCGGTAGCTAATTTTTTGTTGCTCAGGTTCAGAATGAACTTCCGGAAGCGGCATCCACACAGAGAACTGGTTGTTCACATATTTGAATCCCACCACTGGATTGGACTAGATGACTTACAAGCTCCCTTCCAACTCTGCTATTTTAATCATCTTCTCATCAACCTTTTCTCCAAAGCACCGGATGTCAACACTGCTAACATTGGATATTCTTGCTTTGACAACATATGGAGATGCAGCCATTTTCCTTCTTATGTTTTACTCTTAGAATTAGAGTTAGAATTAGATGATACTGGGGGGGGGGGGAAGAGGAGGAATGTGCATGGGAGTTTAGTTAGACATAACAATACTGTAACTAGTGTGAGAACCAAGGTTTTTTGAAATAAGAGATGATAAGAAATGGCGGGTTGAAGAACTGGAGGGAAAGCCTGCATTTCAAACTAACTGGAGAATGTGATTTATGACTTTAATTCAGTGTTTCTCAACCTTGACAATTTTAAGGCATGTGGACTTCAACTCCCAGAATTCCACAGCCAGCAATGCTGGCTGTGGAATTCTGGGAGTTGAAGTCCACATGCCTTAAAATTGTCAAGGTTGAGAAACACTGCTTTAATTAGAGGAGGGAACTGTGCTTTGATACTATGTGCTCAGGGGAGGGGAATTCAGATTTTGGCTTTGACTATGTACGTGCCTATGCTATGCTACTCGAATAAAGATTCTTTAAGGTAAACCACGCCTCAAAGTTCTTTGAAGAGTTTCATCTGTCGGAACCATGACACTGGAGGGTGAGACAGAAAGTAACGGGTAGAAGATCATTAAACAGAAAGCCAGCATAGAACTAAGGAGAAACTTCCTGACAAGGAGGAACAATTAATCAATGGAACGGCTTCCCACCAGAAGTTGTGGGTGCACCAACCCTGGAGGATTTTAAGAAGAGATTGGACTGTCAATTGCTGGGATGACAGAGGGTCTCCTGCTTGAGTAGGGGACTGGACTAGAAGACCTCCCAACTCTATAATTCTGTAATTCTGATCTCACTTATTGTTTGCTCTCTGTTTCAAATATTTTTATATTATAGAAAGGAAGCGAGGCTCGGACAAAAATGGTTAAGTATTGGCTGTCCTCAACCAGCTCAGCAAATATCAAGTCAGAAAACACCTTTTGCTTATCCGGTCTAAAAATCAATAAATACCAAGGCTAAACCCTCATATGACAGCTGCTTTTTGAAAATCCTGGAATGTTAACGGTGTGGACCAAAAGTATTGAAAAGACAGCCTTGTCAACACAAGGTTTGATACAGCGGGCTTTAGATCAT